TTGTCAGGGACACAAAGACTCAGCATCCTGAGGTCACTGTGGGGGTGCCCTGGCCCGGCTCTTCCGTGCACCCACTGGGGTGCAGCCTGACTTGGGGTGGCAGTGTCCTGGCCCCGCCCCTTCCTCCACCAGGGCCTCCAGACTAGGAGAGAAGCCAGCCTTTGTTTTCTGCTGGGAGCCAGCAGCCGCCCAAGCAGGCAGAAGCGCTTTTCCGGGTTGTACACGGGACTGTCAGCCTGCCCCTGAGCTGGCCTGGTAAAGATGTGGGCAGCAGGGCTGGCAGGACGACCCTGGGGCTGGCCCCTACCCTGAGCCTTACAGGGATGAGTACTGTCCAGGATGGGGACCGAGGGCTGGGCGGGCTCCCCAGCAGGCAGCCGGAAGCCCCGCGGCCTCCAGCCAGGCCAGAAGCACTTCAGGCCAAATCCGGTCCCTCCCCTCTGGGAACAGCAAACAACGGCCTACGCCTCCTCCTCCCACCCGTCCACAGGGAAACCAAGGGGCCATCTTCACCTCGGCCAGTCCCCACCCCAGACCCTGGCCACTGCCCTGAGGATGACAAAAGAAGGGTCTTCAAAGAAGGGTCTTCTCTCTGTTCCTATCTCCCCTGCTCTTCTGGCTTGTGCCACTAAGTCTGTCTGTGCGGGCATTGGTGGGAGGCTCAGTGGGCAGGGACCCTGGCAAAGTGGGGAAGAGGCCAGCCAGGGTGAGGGAAAGTGAGGGAGTGAGCCAGACACCAGGGTAGGAGTGCCAGCGAGTGGGTGCGCCCATGGGGGGCAGTCTCTGCCTGGACGCAGGGGGCGTCCAGGCAGAGACAGGCTCTCCCCCTCACTCCCTCCTCCTGGATGTTCTGACCTTGAGGAGGTAGGGGGCCTGGCCACCTGGGTTCCAGCGTCCTCTCCTGCTTGTGGGGGTTCGCTCCTCACCCCAACCACAGGAGAGTCCAGGGGGAACTTGGCCAAGAAAAGGAGCGTGTCAGAACGCGCAAGAGGTGGAGGCCAAGGTCGCCCCCGCATGGACTGAATCCAGACAGAACCTAGACCTAGCCCAGCATGTGCAGAGGTCGGGGCTGGGGTTGGGGGTCATGAAGCCAGCCGGCCCGGCCACGTGTCCGTGGGAGGCGCGACTGGGGTCCGGGCGAAAGGGTAGAGAAAGGCAGGAGCGCGCTAAAAGCGCGCAGAGCTTGCTGCTGCGCCCGACCCCGCCCCGCTGGGTTCCGCCAGGCAGGACCGCGACCGGCCGCGAGCGCAGAGCGCTCCCCCAAGCCCGGCCGCTTTCTGGAGGGTCCACGCGCCCCCGCCCGCCAGGCCTCGGGCCCCCGCCTCGTCCCCGTCGGCCACTTCGGGGGTTCGGGCGTGGCCGCCCCCCAGCTCTTCGCCGCTCCACCCTCCGGCCGCACCCGCGTGGGCAGCGGACTAGCCGGATCGGGGCCGGGCATCCTAGGGCGGTGGCCGGGCGCTGGCCGACGAGCGCCAGGGGCTCGCGGCTCTGTAGCGGGGAGCTGACCCCAAGGGCGGTGGCTGGGCCCGGGCACTCACCGAAATACACGGTCTTGTCGCACTTGGGGCACTTGGAGGCCATGGTCCGTACGCCTAGTCGCCCCGCGTCCTCCGCGCGCTCCCGTCTCCCCGCCGCAGCCGCCGCCTCCGCCGCACCCGCCCCGCCCGCCCGGCTGTCCGCTCGCCCATTGGCCTGCGGCCGGGGCGGGGCGTCGGGAGCCCGCCCCCGGGGTCCGGCCGCCCGGGACGCCGCGGGGGCAGGGGCGCACCTGCCAGGGCTGACTGGGGGCTTCGCGACCCGCCTGGCGCCCCTCGGCTTCGCGCGCCGGTGGCCTCTACCGGGCCCGCTCGGTCCTCGCCTGTTTCCATGGCAACTTCGGGGCAACCGGCTGGGGCTGGGACTCCGCGGCCCCCTGACTGGGGGCGTCCTGGCCAGCGGGGCCTCGGCCCGGAAGGGCGGCGTCGGGACACGCAGACTGACGCCCCGACGGCGCAGCAGCCCGCCCGGCCCGGTGCTGGCGTCCGGGTCCCCAGAGGACCCCACCCCACCCTGCTGCGCGCCGCCGCCCGCTTCCCTTTGTTGCTCGGTTTCTATAGCAACGGCCTCGCTCTGGGACAGGAGCGGGATTTGGGCGGGAGCGCCACCCGGTCCAGGCCCGGTCCCGGCCCCACCTAACACTGTCACTGGTGCTGGAGGCTCAGCGGGTGGAGGGCAGGGCCTCCGCCACTTCCAAAAACAGCGCGAGAGAAACTGCTGGAAGGGAGTGAGGGAGGGGGTGCCTGGCAGCGAGGGGGCCCGCGGTGTGTGCTGCAGGCTCTAAAGGCGCCCTCCCCAAGCTCTCCCACCCGAGGGCATGGGGGGAGAGCCGGGAGACAGGAGGCGTGGGGCCCCTGGGGTGCCCCCTCTGCGGGCGCAACGGCCACGTGGACAGACACTGCCACCTGCATTCCATGCCGTTCCGCCCTGGACGCCCGCCCCATCTCTCCTCCGGGCCCAGTAGCGGCGGGCCCAGGGCCTCTGACCTCGTCCTGCTGGCCCCAGAGCCTCCTCCTGGAGGGCTGGGGAGCTAGGGGTCTGCCAGGGCTCAGGGCCTCTCCCCAGGGGACCTCCGGCCCCTGCCAGCAGGACTGCCTAGCCTTTCCCACTCCTCCCTGCCTCCACCTGGCGCCATGCAGAACCCGCCTGAGCCCCAGGGTCTGGGGACCCGGAGGTCGCAGCAGCCATCTCCCAGGGGTTCTGCCTTCTTGTCGGCTCCTTCCTGGACCACCAGCCCTGCTGAGCCTCAGATCTGGCAGATGGACAGACGCCTAAGCCCAGATGACTGGGTCCAGTCTGGGCAGTGGGCTCCAGCTCCCTCACCCCCTGCCCTGTGTCTCTGAGGCTCTGTGCTGGACACTGGGACCCCCCCCCCTCCTGCTCCCTGACTGCCCCCCTTCCCTGAGGTGCCCCCCTGTCCTCCCCCGCCCTGCTCCCTGACTGCCCCCCTTCCCTGAGGTGCCCCCCTGTCCTCCTCCCTGAGGTGCCCCCCCCACACACACACACTCACACCCTTCAGCCACTTTCATTTCCATGAGTGAGGACAAGAGCCCTCAAGCTGCCGGCCAGCGGGCGGGCCCCCTGCACTCAGCTCTGGCCCTGAGCCAGCTGGGGTGGAGACTGGAGAGGAGACCTCAGCGGGCAAGGTGGCCTGCAGGTCAGCCCCTCACAGCCGGCTCCCTGCTCAGGCTGGTGTCCGGTATCTCTGAATAATTCACGGGCCCCGACTTGGCACCCATTACCAGGTGCTCTGAGCTTGGGAGCCCCCGGGACCCCAGGGTACCAGCCTGTGTGACTCCAGTTTGCAGGACTGCCGTGGAGGGCAGGCTGGTTGGGCACAGGAGTCCTGTCAAGGAGGCTACCTGTGGGCCCCAGCCCTGCTTGGAGAGTGGGGGTGGAGCCAAGAAATGGCATTCGGCCTCCCAGCTGCAGGGCTTGGGCTGATGCTCTGGGCTGTGCTGGGCTAGCCGGGAAGGGGCACTGACCAGTAGACACAGAACCCCGTCTCAGAGCTAGAGGCTGGGTCAGGCACCAGCCATGGGGCTGAGTGAGGACACCAGGGCTGGAGGGAAGCAGGCGGGGCCCCGCTGGCCGGGCATGGAGGTAGGTCCCTCCCTCGAGGCTGCAGTGGAGCAGTGTCCTGGTGGCACTGGCAAATGGCACATGGGAAGCCAGGCTCACATTCCCGCAGGGCTCCCAGGGCTGTGCCCAGGGGTGGGCAGTGGAAGGCCCCAGGCGGGGCAGGCTGGCACACCAAGGCCCTTGTGGGGACATGCCCACCTGAGATGCCCTTGACCCTGGGGCTGGCTGCCGCAGGCCCCTGCCAGGCCCACAGAAGCCGAGCAGAACTAACCAACACCTGGGTCCTCAAGACCTCCCACCCCACTTCTAGGCCTGGCACAGACCTCTCAGACAGCCGGGCCCAGTGTTGGGCCCAGGGAGGGTGCCCCGGCCCTCCTGACTGTCTCTGGGCGGTGGAGGGGAGGGCCCGGCTGGGGGGAGGCTCCTCCCCTCCCTTCCCCGCCCCTCCCCAGCACACCGAGGGAAGGTAGTGTCTTCGTCAAGGTCACCAGCCTGGCCTCCCAGCCCCACCACTGAGGCTGGGGGATGGGCGGGTGTGGGGCCAGCCATGGGGGTGGTGTGCCCCAGCCTCTTCTGACACCCTGGCCCACCACCCAGCGGGGCCCACAGCAGGCCCTTGGACGCCAGGACATCCCTTATCTGTCCCAGGCAAGGCAACAGAGTGGCTTCTATTTTAATTCTCCAGCCGAGATGTCCACACATCACCGTGGGACTGGAGGCACAGCAGGCAGAGCTCAGGGAGGGGCCCCTCCGAGGGCCTGGCGGACCCCTCCCTCCAGCCTCTGGCCTGGATGCACCTGTCTGGTGGGCCTGGAGCGGGTGTGCAGGAGGCCGGAGCGAGGTAGGGTTTCTGAGAACGGACTTGCTGAAATCTGAGCAAACTCTCCCAGAGGAAATGGCACACCTGCTTCGGGTGGCCCCGCGGCTCCTGGCAGCCATCTGCGGACAGCTGCAGTGGGCTCTGCCAGGCCGGCCAGCAGCCCGGCTGACCCTGCCACCCTGGCCGCCCCAGCCGGGGAGCCTGGCACCTGCCAGTCTGGATCCCAGGCCAGGCCCAGACCACCCCTGCCTCGGACAGACAGCGTGTTGGCTCCCCGTGTGGGAGCCCCGAGCCCGGATGGACCTTTCTCTGCCCCCAGGGGGCAGGTGGTAGGCAAGGGCCGAGGTGAGGCGGCAGGGGAGCCCCCAGGCCAGCCTGCGGGGGCCACACGCTGCTGCCTAGGCTTCTCCCTGGACGTCCCAATGCCAGGCAGACCCGGGCAGGGGGTGGCTTGCAGACCCACCGAGCTGGGGGTGGGGGGCACTGAGGTCCCCTAAAGCAACAGGGCTGCAGTGGGCCCGAGACAGAGAGATGGACTGAAGGCAAACGACACAGGAAGGGCTAGTTGGATTTTTGTTTTTATAAGTTTTTTTTTCTTTGTTTTTTTTAATATGAAAATTACTTGAAAAGACAAGGGGCCAACCCCACCAGGCAGCTCGGCCGGCCGCTGGCCACGCCGATCCTAACATTCCAGGTGTAAGTTACAGAGCTTAAGTTCATCTACAAAAAAGTAATAAAAATAAAATTTAAAATGGCACCTTCAACAGAAACAACAAAACTCCTGGCCGGCCCTTGAGCCCGCGTGCGGGGCAGGCACTCGGGCGGCTCCTCAGCTCCGCTCTGGCCAAAAAGTAAACACAAAGCTAAAAAAACGACTCCCCGGCGGGTCTGGAGTAAGTCGGGCGCTTCTCCCCGCGTGGCCGAGGGGCAGTTTCTCTGCGGGGGAGGGCGGGCAGGGCACTACCAAATCCGGGCGGTGGGCGGCGGGCGGGCGTGGTCTGCAGTCAGAGGGCCGCGCGGGCGGCCTAGTCCTCGATGACGATGGGCTCGTCGTTGACGGGCGCGGGTGGGGGCGGCCGCAGAGGCAGGGCCTGGCTCGGGCGCAGGGCGATGGGCTTGTAGGGCCTGCGGGCCGCGCGCTTGGTCTCGGAGGACGAGAGCAGCTTGCGGATCTTCCTGTGGTGGAGCCGGGCAGTGAGGTGGGCAGGCGGCACAGCACCCGGCCCCCACCCCCGCGGGGTCCGCCTGCCCGCCCACCTGGTCTCCTCGGTGGCCATGTAGAACACGTCGTCGGGGGCGTCGATCCAGTTCATCCGCCGCCGCTTGACGGGGGGCAGCGAGCCCCCCCGGATGAGGCGCACCTTGGTGGGGTACGCCTTCCCGTTGAGCAGGAGGTTCCGGCTTGGTCCCTGCGGTGGGGCAGGCCTGAGAGGGGAACTCGGGGCCTCCGCGCAGCGCCCAGAAGCCCCACGGCGGCCGTCCCAGGGGCAGTGTGGGCCGGGGCGCCCGGAGAGCTACGAAGACCCCATGAAGACCCCAACACCTGCCGCCCCTCGGGTCCCTAGGAGCCTCCCAGATGCTCCCACAGCCCCTGGCAGGCTGGGGGCCTCCCGGCTAAGGCCCACGGGAACATGTGTGTGCAAGTGTGTGGAGAACAGAGCCCCTGCGCTTACCATGTGCCTGGTCTGTCCGTGATTTGCCAAACCTGAGAGGAGGGAAGAGGACAGCCGTGAGGCCCCCGCAGGCACGTGCCACACCCGCATGCCTGCCAAGGGCCCACAGTGCAGAAGCAGGAAGCCTGGGGCTACCTCTCCCCAGAGCTGCCGCCCACACCCAGGCGGGCCTCAGCTCCTTGAGTCCTGGCCTTGCCCAGGTGGCTCTCAGGGACCCCCCCGGTGGGTGGGGTGGGTGTGGGAGCCTCGGATCTGAGCTCACTCCCTTGAGGAACCGGGACCACTGCAGCCTGGTTCAGAGTAGCCAAGTGACACCTGGCACAGCTACACATACAATGGCAACAGGGAACCCCTCTGCAGAGCAGCCACTCCCTGGGTTCAGACTTCCTCCCGAGGGGCTCCCAGTCCCGTGTGGGCCTGGGGCCAGGTGCCCTGCAGGAAGCTGATGGAAGTGCCCAGGAGAGGTCAGAAGGCCATGCTCCAGCTAGCAATTCCACACTATGGTTGGGGATCTGGAGGTGAAAGCCACTACCAGTGGCTCAGAAAAGGCACTGTCCCAGGTCACAGGCTGTACCCTCAACGGGCACCAAAACAACCCACAACTCCCTGATGCAGGTGCAGTGAGTCTGCCATGAGAGCATCAGTATGAGTACACAAGCCCGTGGGCGTGTGTTGGTCTGAGTACACAGGCCCGTGAGCACGTGTTGGTCTGAGTATACAGGCCTGCTAGCCTGTCGGTGAATACACGAGCCTGTGAGCACATGTTGGTGTGAGTACACAGGCCCATGAGCACATGTGGTATGAGTACATGTGCCTGCGAGCACATGCTGGTGTATGTACACGGGCCTGTGAGCGTGTGAGTACACAGGCCCATGAGCATGTATTGGTCTGAGTACATGGGCCTGCTAGCATGTCGGTGAATACACGGGCCTGTGAGCACGTGTTGGTGTGAGTACACGGACCCGTGAGCGTGTCAGTGAGTACATGCGCCCGTGAGCATGTGCTGGTGAGTACACAGGCCTGTGACCACGTGTCAGTATGAGTAACACCGGCCCGCGAACAGGAGTCAGGGTATGTGCATGGGCCCATGAGCATGTGTCAGTGAGTACACGGGCCTGCGAGCAGGTATCGCTGTGTATACACAGGCCCGTGAGCACGTGTTGGCGGGAGTACACAGGCCCTCAAGCAGGTGTCGGTGTGCGTACACGGGCCCATGAGCACGTGTTGGTGTGAGTACACAGGGCCATGAGCGTATGTCGGGATAAGTGCATGTGGCTGTGTGTCAGTGTGCATCTACATGGTTGCATGAGCTAGTCTCCATTGTCCACACTCTGCCACACACATCTAGCTCCTCCCAAAAGTGCTTCTTGACTAAGGTCTGTCTCTAGATGAGCCTGGAATAGCTGTCCAGCCCCCCTTTGCAGCACCTCCTAACTTGGGATACCCACAACCCCAGCAGGCAGAAGCAGGGGCCCCAGCACCCAGCTTGCAGCGCTCACGAGCTGTCCACGGGTGTACACAGCGATACACAGCGCTCAAGGCTCTGCGCTACTTACCCAGGTAGGTGCCTACCAGAGGGACGAGTGGCAGAGAGAAGAAAGCACACAGTTAGCGTGGAAGGGTGTACAGGTGGGGCCCTGGGTGGAGGCAGCCACAGGCCACGGAGGGCCAGGTTAGGGAGTTAAGGCCCCCTGGGGTCAAGGGCCCTGGCCGAGAGCCGACTCCTGCCATCCGCTGCTGCCCTGGCCACCACACAGCACCCCAGCGGGCCTAAGTGCGGCCTCCGACACCCACCCGGGACCCAGGACTGGGGCTGAAGTAGCTACGGGAACACATGGATTTCGGAAAAACTGATGAAGTGAATGGAGTTTATCCCCCTGCTATCAAGAGCTCTTTACAAGTCAAGCCCTAAGCCCCAAGCCCTGTTGATAAGACCCGCTTCCCCTCCTGTGGGATGTGGGCAGACGCGCGGACCGGTCGCTCTGCTGAGACCAGGGGCTGTGGGAACCGCCCAAGGATGGCTCCAGGGAAAGGGGGAGGTCAGCGAGGGGGCGAGGCTGGGGTGAGCTGGTGCCCCACCAAGGGGTTGTAGGCAAGGCAGCAGGGGGCCTGGGGCGGGAAGAGCCTGTGTCCAGATGGAGGCAGAGAACCTGGCCTCAGTGCCACTTGCTGACCCTCAGCAAGTGCCTGCCAGGCTCCCAGACACACTAAGATGGGCGTGTCCAGGGGACCGGGCTGGGCCAGATGGCCACTGACGCCCACCACCTCCCAGAGATTTGAGAACCAAGCCCGGTCCAGCCTCCTGGGCTGGCAGGTCTCCAGTCCTGAGACTGGGGAGGGCTCTGGCCACATCCATGCTGGCTGCCCATGAGGATGGGGTTCCCACGCCGGACCTGACCTTGTTGCTGGGAGGGGCTGTGGGAGGAGCTCTGAGTGCGTTCCCCTAAGTTCCCCGTCCGCTGATTCTGTTCACCTCCCCCTCATGGGTACTGCCACGGGCTGACCGTTGGGGGCACTGGCCCCCACAAGGCTGACATGCCCCTCACTGGCACCGTGGTGACCCCTACTAGAGCAGCCCCAGACCACAAACGCCCCTCCCTCAAGAGAAGGCAAAAGCCAGCCCTGAGCAGGTGAGGGAGCCACACTTTGGAGGCCAATGCCAGCCGTGCCTGATGATCGGAGGGCCTCGTGGCAGCCTGCCCCGGCGCATGCCCCCTGCACTCGGGACAGGCCCCGCAGTCTCAGCTCTGGGTGTCCCTCCCCACGGGGCCCTGGCCTGGGCTTTCCCTCGCAGACCCCCAGCAGCCATGCCAGCCACACCACAGCTCTGTTGTCAGCACCCGAGGGGCCAGGGTCCCACAGCCCCCCACCAGGCAGGGCGTGGGCGAGATCACAAGCACAGGGCGGATGGCCACACGCGCTGAGGCTGACAGCATGCGGGTGGGTGCAGCGCGGCAGCAGCCAGTGCGGGCGGGTGGCGGGGGCGCCAGGGCCGCCCGGTGAAGGACAGTCCACTGACCGGCGCTGGGCCCGGACGGAGGGGCATTTCATGAGCCGGGATGCCCAGGTGGGGGGCAGGGCGTGGCCAGCAGGGGTGGGGGCGGCCCCCGGGTCTCTGCCGAGTGACAGGTGGGTCGGGGGGCGCCGGGGCGCGGCCCAGGCCGCGTGGACTGCCCTGGACGTGCCCTGGGCCGTCCGCCACACACACGTGAGCACAGCACATAGGCAGGCGCGTAGGGCCAGGCCTTACCCCTACTGGGCATCAAGAGGCGCTTCTTCACGTTGCCTGGCAGCGCCCGGCGGCAGGAGAGAGGAGAGAACACATGGTCAGCGGGCGCGGGTGCAGCGGGGGCCGGGCACCCCAGGCCCACAGCCACGCCGGCCGAGCCCGAGGCCCCCCGGACTCACCGTCGACCCCATTGTGCTGCTCGTAGCTCCGCTTGCCCAGGATGGTGGGGGAGCCATTGTTGATGACGGGGGCCGACTTGGCGGGGGTCAGGCCGCTGAGCACGCCGGACACACTCTTCACTGGGTCAGGCTTGGGGGGGCGGGGGTGCGTCTCTGCAGGGCCAACACGGGCGAGTGGGCACATGGCCGCTCCTCAGCGGCAGCCCCACCACCCAGGAGGGTGCATGTAGCCCAGCCCCGGCAGGCACGCCAATGTGGCACCCCAGGCACCCTTAGAGCAGGGAGAGAGGCTGGGGCCAGGCCCCTTAGCCCCTTGGTTCAGCCGACAGGCCCACCAGCGACCACCAGCAGCTCATAGGTCCAGATCCCCATAAACGAGCAGGTCCACTGAGTGGTCACTGAGCTGCCGGCCCAGGTTGGCCACAGGCCTGATGATGAACTAAGGGCCCCGTCAGCTGACCGCAGACAAATCACCGGGCCGGCCAGCTCCAGGAGGCGCAGATCCACACCTGCCAAGTGGCCCAGCCCTTGGCGGCTCTCAGGGGCCAGAGACCAGACAGTAGGAGGAGCCACAGCCGCCTGTCTCCCCTAGGAGCCCGCCGCTGGCTCCAAGCATGCTTCACAAGCGAACACGGGCACAGTGGGAGGGACCGAATCCCAACCTAGCCCAGCAGAGCGGAGGGCCGCGGACAAGCGGGGCGCTCGAGGCCCCAGGCTGCCCCTCTCTGCGTCCCTCCCAGGGGGCACGCCTCCCACCCAGCCCGGATCTTGCCCGGCAGGGAAAAGCATGGGGAAGACCCCTCCGAACCCACACAGGAGCCTGCGGGGGTGAGGGCGTGCGGGGCGGAACCTGGGGAGGGCGGGGCAGGCGGGCTCACCGAGGAACCGCAGCACGGCCTCCAAGGGCTTCCGCGTGGCCTGCTTGAGCACCAGCGGGCTCTGGGAGGCTTCCGGCAGCCGAGCCGTGCCTGCAGGGGGCCAGGGTCAGTGCGCTCGCCCGCCGGCAGCACCCCCACCCGGCCCGCCCCGGGGGACACTCACACTCGGCCTTGATGGCCGCGCTGTTGATGGGCATGTAGGGGTGGCGGGCGGCGTGCCAGGGGCGTAAGATCTCGCGGCACAGGCGCCGGGCGATGCGCGTGAGCTTGGTGGTGTGCAGGTAGAAGGCCTGTCTCGTCTTCATGGCGAACTTGGGGCTCCCGCTGCTCCGCGCTGGGATGCCGTGGGGGCTCTGCGGAAGGGGGCGCGCCGCCCCGACACAGCGCCATGACTGTGGGCCAGGCCGCAGGGGCGGGGCGCGCGGGAGCTTGGTGGTGTGCAGGTAGAAGGCCTGTCTCGTCTTCATGGCGAACTTGGGGCTCCCGCTGCTCCGCGCTGGGATGCCGTGGGGGCTCTGCGTGTGGGGCGGGGCTTACCATGTTACTGCGATTGGGTCCCGGCCTCTCTCCATCTAACCGGGTTGGCATTTTCAAGCCACCATATTTCTTCCAATATGTCCAACAAGACGCGCAGAGGCGACACTGCATGTTAGGGGGACCCCAAGAATACCACTGGTAAGACTGGGTGGCTACGGACAACAAAGTTGAAAATAGACGGATTCTTAAGCAGAACCAGTGACGGCAGAGAGCATTCCACAGCTGTCGCCCGCCCACACCAACCCGGGCCCGGGCACCACGCCCCCCTCACTCCCGACCAGGGCTCCTCCAGGCAGGGTGCGACCCCCGCCCCCAGGCCGGTCCCCGGGACGGTGCAGGGGTGCCCAGGGCCGCGGACTAGGGTGCGCCTGGATGCCTGGGGGGCACTTACTGTAACAGCTCTCGCAGGCCCGGCCGGCCCCAGGGCTCTGGCCTGGCGGCCCCGCGCCGTTCACCACGCCTGCCTTGACGTTATTGACGCTGATCTGGTTCGGGTTTGGTTTGTTACTTGGGTAAGGGAGAGAGGGAGAGCGTCACAGGAGCACGGAGCCCCGGGCGCGCGGCTCTGGGGCCCCGGCAGCCCCGTCCACACCCGCCTGGCTGCAGGGCAGCCGCCAACCCCAGCTCTCTCCCCGTAGCCTCGGGTCAGAGTCAGACCCCATGTTGGACGGCTTCCAGCCTCCGCGCCCGGTGCTGCCTGGCAGACCGAGGGAGAGCCAGGGCCAGGTCCTGCCCTCCCACCGCCCCCACCATCCTGGGCTTTGAGGACAGGCCTCTGTCTCGCCCAGACTCTGAGCCACGTGAGGCCAGCGCCAGGCCTGGCCCACCCAGGGATGTGGAGACACAGGGGTGGTGCTCTGGGGGTGCACTTACTAGTTGGGGATATAAACTTGCTTTAACTTGCTCTCCGCTTCAGCTGCTTTCAAGCGTTTCTTAAAACACAGAACACAGGGTCAGAGGCTGGCAGCTGGGCTTGCAGAGGGGTGACCCCGGCCGCGCCAGCTGGCCCTCACCTGCTGCACGTATCTGTCGGTGGTCTTCCACATGTAGTAGTACTCAATGATGCTGGTGAGCGACTTCCAGGGGAGCTGTGGGAGGGGGGCGTCTCAGGGGGGGGAGGGCCCTGCCGGGCCCCGCCCAGGCCACCGTCAGGGCCCCGCCCAGGCTCGCCCTCTCCTGGGCGGACAGCACGGCCCAGAAGCTCCTCCCGTTTCTATTCCTGCCACAGCGCCTGCGCCCTGCTAGCTGGCTGGCTGGGTAGGTAGGCACTCCCACCCCCAGCACACAGTGCCAGGGTGGGGGGGCAGAGAGGAGGCACCCAGGCCCCCACCCCGTCCAGGCTGCGGGCTGCACATGCGCACGCGCTCTGCTCCCGCTGTTCTGGCATCACCCCTGGCTCACAGGCCGAGCGCAAGTCCAGCAGGGCTCGCGCCACCTGCGGGCCTGCCTCCCGTGAGCACGTTCACCCACAACATCCGCCCGGGTGAGTCGATCGCAGGCTATGCGTCTCCTGCACCTGGGCCGTCACACAGGAGTGCTAGAGGCCCGGGACCTGTCGGAGGGGAAGAGGGGGTGTGGCCAGTGTGCCCAGCGCGCTCCGCTTATTTCTGGTGAGGAGACCTTGCTGAGGTTTCAGCACACTCTAGCTGTCCGTCAAGAGGCTGGCTCCGGGCTCGGCCTGCACCCTCGGCACCAGGGCTCTGAGGGGCCCTCTGAGGGCCTCTGGGCCACACTGCTTCTCTGCCTTCTGCGGTGAGCCCGGCACCAGCTTTGTCTATTCCAGCTGAGATGCCGCTGGGCATCAGATGTGGGCCGCTGCATCCCGGGCTTTCCCAGGGGCTCATGGTCAGGCCAGCCTGGCCGCCCTGCTGCCCTCTCTGTACGGACGTGCTCCTCTGAGTGACCAGCATTCTTTCAGACGAGCTCAAGTGTGTTTTAGGGGCTGTGAGAGTGGGAGGGGTCCCTGCGGACTTGATTCCCACGGGCTCAGCGAGGGACACTTCCAAGGACGTATGCGGAGGCTCGACTGGTTATTAAAAACAACTGGACTCAAACACACCCGGGGCCTGAGGGCCGGTGAGGACCTGGACCTGGAGATGCAGCAGGCGCCTCTAACAGACGAGGGGACGGGAACATGGAGGCCTGGGGAGCAGCGCGGTCCTGAGCCCGCCCTGCGGTACTCACAAAGTCTTGCTGAATGTCCGTGAAGTCCTTCCCGTACTTTTCCAGGGCCTCCTCGAAAAGGCTGGCCTCTGAGGCTGACCACTCTTCCATCTCATCCCTGCAGAGCACGGGCCCGCCCTGCGGCACCAGGGCTGAGATGGCCTTGGCGACGTCATACACGCTCCTGTGCAGCGTGTCCATGGCGTGGAACTGTGCAGGGCAGGAGGCAGGGTCACCCGGGCCCCGCGCTGGCACCCACCCCCAGCCCAGACGGCGGACACACCCGGGTCACGTGTGGAAGGCCACAGGACACGGGGCGGCTGCGGGCCTCTGGGGGAGTGTGGGGAGAGAGCTGTGGGCAAGCAGGGCTGGCCCGGGGCACATGAGCACCCTTCTGGGAGACGTGCTGCCCGAGACGGGGCGGGAGGAAGGAGTAGGGCAGCCCCAGGACGTGCAGGTCAGCCTGAGCCTGTGTGGAGACGGGCTGCCACATGAGGGCACCGAGAGCCCTGCCGGGGGACGGGCTGGTCTGAGCAGGCCCCTTACCAGGGTGATGTCCCGGGAGGCGGCCGCGGCGCTCATGTGCAGGCTGGGCTGCCGGACAGAACTACTGCAGTCCAGGGCCCGGGCGAAGGTGCCCACGGAGCTGGGGGGGGGGGGGGAGAGACGCTGACACTGAAGCAGACAAGCAGGCCAGCCGGGCTGAGCGCGACAGGCAGCGGCGCCCAGGCTCAGCCATCTTGAGGAGGAGTGCTCTGCTCTGGAGTTTGGGGACTGAGTCTGAGTCTGAGTCTCCGCAGAGCTCTTCTCATGAGACAGCCTTCGGATTCCAGCGCTGGATGGCGCCTGGCTAGGGGGTGGCACGTGGCCCTGAGTGCTCACCAGAGCTGCCCCGCGGGGGCCAGGGTGTCAGCCTCAGCAGAGGCAGCTCCGGAGAGTGCATCCGCTTCGTGTCCGGGAGGCCTCGGCCTTGGCCACGTCCGCCCCAGCGGCCTCCGCCCAGTCCCTGAGCCAGATGGGCACCCTGTCCCACCCCGCGGTCTGCGGAAAGAGCCCCACCGGCACCTGGCTTGCTCAGCCTGTTCGGGGGGTGGCCCCGAGCAGCCCCTCAGAGCCAGCTCCGTGTGCAGGAGGGGCCAGGCCTCCCTAGGGACCAGGAACGGGTCACCACAGAGCAGGCCCAGCCCCGCTGACCTCGTGTGCCCTTCGCCGGGCGATGCCCCACAGCACAGCTATCCCAGAACCCACCACGGGGTGAGTGAGCAGCTAAGGCCATGCCAGCCTGTGCCCTGCCTGACGGCACTCACCGGGCCACCACCAGGAACTGGTCGATCTGCTTGTCCACGAGCGGGTTGCGGGCCTCCCACACCTTGGTCTCCAGCTTGGACTGGTCTCGGCCATCCTCCTCGCCTGTGGGGAACGGGTGCCGCGGGGTGAGGCCACCGGGGCCGTGGGAGGAGCCCCAAGGCTCTCGTGAGAGCTCGGAGCCAGGGGTCCCCTTAGGGCCTGGCCTACTGGGGTGAGGGATGGAGCACCCCCTTCTGCAGGGAGGGAGAGGGTGAGTGAGCCCGGGGTAGGGACACAGCACACATGTGCACGCACACACACACGGACGCACATACACCACACACAGGAATGCGTGTACACACAGGCGCGCACACACACACACGGATGCGGTGGGGTCGGTGCTCCAGGGCGAGCGTGGCGCAGGGCAAGCCTCCGCCTCTGGCGTGGAGTCCGGGTCTGGGCTCCCGGGCCCCTGGAGAGCCTCCGGGAGGGCCCTGGAAGCACAGACGCTGGGCGAGGGGCGGGCGCTTCAGGTCTGATCAGCCGAGCCCCCGACCACCAGCACGCTGGTGCCGGCTCGGCAGACATTCGCCTGCCACCTGGGCCCTGAGGCCACAGGCCTCGTCTCGGGGCGTCTTCCCCTCAGCCTGCAGGTGGTGTGGGGGGGCCCAGGGCCCGGCCATGGATGCTCCTGTCCTGGGCAGTGCCCACGCCAAGGGCTGGTGTGCTCCGGTCAGCAGGGGGGATGGGGCCACAAGGAGGATCTGGAGAATGCCCACCCTGGCATGGCTGGGCTGGCGTGGAGGACATGTCACACCCACACTACTCAACTCGGGCGCCCGGGCTGAACGTCTGCAGACACCCTCAGCCACGGTCCCTCTTGGTGGGAATCCGCTTCCAGGCCCAGGACCCCGCACACTTGGGAATCCTGTGGAGCCTGGAGTGGGTGCGGGTCAGCAGGGTTGGATGTGGCTGAAAGTCTCTGGGGAGACATGTGCCCCCTCGCCCTGGGGACGTCACCCTGGCGGGCTCCAGGGGCATGCTGGGCCAGGGGTCCACGGGAGGGAAGCCCAGCACCGCAGACGTGCAGGGCTGACCCAGGGACAGGGCATGCAGATCCAAGAGCCTGGGGTGCCAGGGCTGCGGGACGCAATGGGGCGCCTAGAGGACGGGCACGGGTGGGCTCCCCGCCGGCAGTGCCTCAGCACCAAGACCCTCCCCGGGGAAGGCGGGGACCCTCTTCCTGCATCAAGGCCCCAGCGACGTGGTCAGGCAGCCAGGCCCAGAACCCCGGGCACAGTGGCACCCGTCTCAGGGCCACGCTGGCTGGCAGGCAGCATCACGGCACACTCTGTGCTGCCACACACGTTCACGGCCGGGGCGCAGGTTCACAGGGGCAGGGTCCACGCCCTGGGAAGCACGCAAAGACGGCAGGCTGAGGCCTTCGCCAGGGCCCCCGGGGCAGGAGTGGGAAACGCCCAGGCGGCAGGGCTCGCTCAGGGCAGCTGAGGACAGAGGCTCATCCCCGCCGAGCACCCAGGCGGTTGGCAACGCGAGCTCTTTGGACATTCGAGCCACCAGCGTCCTCTGGTGGCCTCACCAGGACCCCTTAGCCATCCCACAGGAGCGCAGGCCTGGGGACCCCCAGGGACCCTGAAGGCTGCCTGACTCTGGAGACAGGTCTGCGGCCAGCACGGCCAGCTCTGTTCCAGTGGGAGACGTGGCGTGGGGACCCCCAGGATGACGCGAGTGCTCACAGGGCCAGAGGGAGACGCAGCCAGGCCCGCCTGCGATGGAGCCGGACACACGGGGCGGACGCGGGAGCCACCCCACCACCCGCTTCCCACGGGCCTGGCTCAGTGCCTCCCTGACACCCGACCAGATGAGCAGGCGCCCCAGACGGAGACCAAGGCCCCGACAGGGAGGCAGGTGTGAGCGTGTGGATGAGGTGCGAGTGAGCTGTGGCACAGGTGTGTGCACATCTGTGCAACAGGAAACGTGTACACGGGCCAAGAGCAGAGCCCAGGGCGAGTGGCGCAGCCGGGGGTTCAGGAGGAGCAGCGGCTGCAGAGAGGGGGCTCCCGGGGCCTCCTGCGCAGAGGAGCCCGGGGCGCAGACTGCAGAGGGGGAGCCAGGCCCGGGGACGCGCACCAGGGCCGCCCGAGGACGTGAGAGCGGCTGTGACGCGCTGAGGCACGCGGGGACCCCAGGCGGCCTGTGCACTGCACACGGAGCCAGTTCTGCAGGGACACAGGCTCCGGAGAGAGCAAGGCGCCCGAGCGCCCTGAGACCAAGCGCATGCGTGGTCCAGCCGCCAGGCCTGCCTCCTGGAGCCGTGCAAGGAGGACAGGAGGGGACAGGATGCCCACGAGCGTGGACCCCGCGGCCCCCTGCGTCAGCCCCACTTGCCTGGGTGTGGCCGCCACCCAAAGGATGCGGGCCGCTCATGGCAGGCCCGCGGTCAGCCCTGGGGCCCCCACAGGGAGCGGGTCACCAGGGCCCGAGTTCCCCTGCGCTGTGTGCCTGGGGACAAGCTGAGCTGCAGGAAGGGGTCAGGCCCGCCCATGACCCCCAGGCCGCTGGAGGCCTGAGCGGGCAGGGGAGCTGGGCACTGTGTCCCCCTAGCACGGGGGCCTCGCGGACAGCACCGTCCACCAGAAGTCAGTGACACGGGCAATGGCTCAGACAAGCTCTTTGAACAGAAAAAGAGCTTGTAAAAAGTTATGAAAACAACTGCTAAAAGGAAACAAAGTCTCCAGGCGGCACAGAGGGTCCAGCGACAGGCGCTGGGGGTGCTGGGCCCACCGCCGCCCACCCACCTTCTTTCAGCAGGTCAGTGATGTCCGCCTGGTACCGGTTCCCCACCCGGATCTCCCCCTTGTCCGCCAGGAGGGTCTTCTGCTGGGGGTCGTAGACCAGGGAGTAGAAGAAGAAGTCCTGGAAAGCAGCACGGGGCAGGGGTGTCGGCACACAGCACCGCGGCCGCGCCCACGGGGCCAGCAACCTGCTCAGACGCAGAGCCCACAGGCCCGGCTGCAGGCAGCTCCCCAAATCGCCTCGAGCCCGTCAGCAGCAAGTCTGAAAATTTAGTTTATAGAAGCATCTGACAGCAACAAAACTCATAAGACATCTGGGAACAAATCTGACAGATTCTGGGCTCGGCCTCTAAGACGGCAGGGTTCCCATGCAGTTGTCACAGGAAACGCACGCAGAGCGGCCACGTAACAGAACGTCCTGGGCCCGGCGCCCAGCACTGGCAGCTCCCAGCCCATGGGCACCCTCCTGCCGGCTCCAGGAGCACCCAGGGGGCGGCAGGCATGATGCGCCCTCCTTGGCCCCCGGGAAGCCGCGTTGAGCTGGCCTGGGCCACTTCTCAGAAGCAAGCCTACAGACCCGGGGCTTCCCCTGGGGCCTCGCCATATCCCGCAGGGTCCACCTGGCCCCGAGCCCCCACAGGCGGCAGTGGGCAGGGGCTGCTCCCATGTCAGGGCCGAGGGCTCCTGGGGGTAGGTCCCGTGGGCTGCAGCTGTGGCCTGCGCTGCCAGCTGCCCTCGCCTCAGCCACCCCCCTCTCCTCGGAGGCCCCCCTCCCCAGACAGGTGAAGGAGACCAGCAGGACATGCCCACTGTGACCCTGCAGGTGCCAGAGTGGGGCCCATGCACCTCCCGAGGCTGCTTCACAGTAGCCTTTGTGCAGAGACAGCCCCCCACGTCACTGCTCGGGCAGCTGCCACCAGGGGGACCTTTCCAAACTGCAGACCGCACGTCCGCTCCCCAGGGGAAGCTGCCTGGGGCCACAGCCCTGCTCTGCCCGCCACCTTCCCAGGCCACACCAGGCCTCCCGCAGGCAGGCGGGCCGGGGCTCCCGGGGGCCCAGGCTGCCCCAGCGGCTCCTCTGCACCAACTCCAGGCAGCGTCGCCTAGCGGCTCTCCAACTCCTGAGTCAGGCGTCAGGGAGGCCACGCACCAGGCCGCCCTCGCTGGACCACTGGGACCACAGCTGCCTGCGCTCCCAGTCCACACCGCCCCCTCCGCACACTCCTCTGGGGCCCTGGAGAGCCTGGCCTTGCCTGGGGAGGGTGCCGCCCGCAGCGATGACCCCTTCAGGAGCTGCAGGGATGGTGGGCAGGTCCCCTGGGAGCCAGCAGCGCGTGTCCCCTGGACACGCGAGGAGGGGACCCTGCCCCTTGGCCACGCCCTGGCCTGCCCTTGCAGGGTGACGCCAGAGCCCTGCTGCGGCAACCCCTGCTGGCCCACCGGCTTCCCTGGACACGCATGTGTCCTCTAGAGACGGCTCTGATCATCATGCTTCTCGGGAGAGGGGGCGCTGGACAGGCAAGCCCATCAGAACCACCCGCCCTGGGGGTCACGGCTGGAGGGACAGCGGCCACAGGGTGAGGAGCTCGGGCATCACCGCGAGGCCCGTCCACCCACGGGAAGAGGTTGGTCCCCTGGCCCCAGTGGCACTGAGAACTCCTGTTTCATAAACTCAAGACACTTGCAGTCTCCCGGCCGGCAGTGCTGGGTCGTCACAGTGTGGCTGGGACACGGCAGCCAGTGTGGCTGGGTGGGCACCCGCCTAGCTGGGGAAGCCCAGACGGCACTCCGGCAGCCGCCACGGGCCTCCCCACCCCAGGCCAGACAAGTTGTGCCCCTCGGGGGGCAGGGGAGCCTCACCTCCCGCTCCAGGTAGGACTTGAGGGACTCGGTCTCATTCAGCAAAGTGACGCTGCACTTCCCTCTGCAAGGCAGGACACAGGAGGGCGTGTGTCAGGGGAGGCAGGGAGTCCCCCGTGCCCACCCAGGCCTGCGGCACCTGATGTGAATGCTCCCTGCCCCAGGCCTGCGGTACCTGATGTGTGTGGCGGGCAGGGACTCCAGCTGTCTAGACAGAAACAACTCCCGATGCCGCAGCTGGTGCTTGAGCTTCTCGGGCAGGTCCACCATCTCCGGGTTCTCCATCTCCTCCTCTATTTCTCCTGAAGGACACAGAGGACACGTGCTCAGGCCACCGAACAGACCCACCCACTGGTGGCCCAGGCCCCGCCCCCACGGGGCCCCGGCAGGCGCTTGGGCAGCACTGGTTCTAGCCTAGCCGCCCCAGAAGTCCTCAGCCTGGGTGTCTGATCAGGAAGGAAGACGTGTCCTGAGCTGGCCGGGGGGAGACGGGGGAGACAAGGCGGCCGCTGCTGCACGTCCAGGGCCGGAGGGCAAAGACCCCACGGCCATGCCCCGAGCCCTCCCTGCACCGGAACCCCCTCAGGGCCAAGCTGCAGGGCCTCCGTGGGCCCACCTCGCCGCGGGCGAGCAGGGGTGGGCATGCAGCCCGGCGCACAGGCGCCGGGACCCTCCTGCGAGGGCGGCTCTTACCTTCCTCGCCGGTGTCGGCCCCCGATCCGGTTTTATAGCAGACTGACAGCGCTATACAACAGACAGACAGCGCCCAGACGGCGGGTCAGCCGCAGCGCCCGGCCTGGCTGCGGGGGCGAGGCTGGGGGCGAGGTGGACCCGGCCGGAGCCAGAGGATGTCCCACCTAGCTGACCTCGGCCCTGCCCACCCCCATGCCCACGCCGCCCATGCCTCCGAGCAGACCCCAGACCAGTCTGGGCAGCCGGGCCCTCCTCCGTCACACAGACCAGCCTGTCCCGGCAAAGTCGGAGGGAGCCAGACCTTCCCGAGAAGTGGGCCTGGGGGGCTGGGCGGGGGTGGGATGGGTCCCCAAGCCAGATCAGTGGTACAGGCTTCCCGCCTGGGGTCCTCGGCTGCCCCCCCCAAGGCTGGGACACTTGTGCCCACGGGGAGAGCCCAGAAGTGTGGCATGTGGGGAGCAGCCGGGGGCCTCCAGGATGTGGACTCAGCACAGGTAGGCCTGGGGCCGGGGTGCCCCTGAAGGCAGCGGTGGTCGGGGGCTGTGCAGAGGGGGGCGGGGAAAGCCAAGCCCGAAGCCAGACTACCCTCCACTCTGAGGCCCACAAGAGGCTGCACGGAACAGGCCCGCGGGAGGCTGCACGGGGCAGGCCCGCAGGCCTGCAGGAGGCTGCACGGGGCAGGCCCGCGGGAGGCTGCATGGAGCAGGCTCGGCCCCGTGCAGCCTGCGGCCCTCTGCTGCCCCCCTGTGGCAGCCGCGCAGAGACCCACCCCGCCCCCAACACGTCCACAGCTCAGGGCAGCCGGTGGGGCCAGGGGGTGGGCAGCTAGGGAGGCGGCTGGGCTGTGGCTGTCTGGGCGGGGGCCACAGGGACCTGGGCACCCACACTGTAGGCTGTGTCATGCCCTGCCCATCCCTGGGGGCCCCAGGGCAGCCCCACACGAGGGCATCACCTGCGCTCAGACATGGCCCCCAACCCACACTGATCACGCTCATGCCATCCAGGGGCGGCCCCGCTGGCCTGGCAGAGCAGCAAGGAGCCAGGGCCAGAGACAGGGCCCGTGTCATGGCCGCAGACCTTGCCCTCCCCATTCTGACCCTGGCCCACCAGGGCTCCCACCATCAGCAATGCAAGGAGCAGCAAGGAGCCACGCTGACAAGGGGCGGCCGGGGCTGCAGCCAGCCTTTCCTCCCACCCCCAGGAGACCAGGAGTCTCTGCATGGCTCCAGAGCCCACTCCCCGAGGACCTGCAGATGTGAGCGGGCTGCAGTGTCCAGCGTCAAGGAACCCAGGGGCACATGGCCCCTGGGGCCAAAACCCCTGCCTCCAGGATCCAGCGAGGCCCGGCCTTGGGCTCAGAGCCGGGGCTTCACCCCACACACCCCACAGGTTCCCCTGAACCCTGCACTCGCTCTGGGGTTCCTGGAAGGACCTGTCCCGTGCCCATGGCTCCTCAGGCGAGGTCCACTCTCAGGACAGCTCTGCCGGAGGCCCACACACTTGTGGGAGGGCGTTCCTGCTCTGGGGAGGCCCCTGGGACCAGGGCATCTGTGCTAGCAGAGCGGGGCGTGAGTTTGTGCCTTGGGCTCCGGGCCCAGAAGCAGCTCTAGCAGTGTATCCGACCACGCAGTAGGCGCCCACCCAGCCCACATCCCTCCTGCCAGAAGGGCCTCCGAGTGTCCTTCCCACTCCCCTGGCGCCGGGCTGGGTCCCAGGCATCAGGGTGGACCGATGTCCCCTCAGCCCAGCCCTGCAAAATGGAGGCCCTGCCCTGAGCTGGGTGCGGGGGCCTCCCCACCCCCGCCAGCTCCCGCCTTCAGTGGGACCCACTCCCCGCAGGTCTCATGACCTAACTCCTGGCCAAGCCCCCCTGGGGCGTGAGAGCAGGAGCGCCTGTGTGGGTATGGCCACCACCGTGCACGGAGGGCCAGGGCTGTGGACACTCAGGGCTGGGTACAGACATGGGAGATAGCGTGCCATCACCTACGCCCTGCCTCGGGGCCCTGACCGTCGGGCCAGGGCGAACAGGCCCGGCCCACTAACCCTGTGCCCCCAGGACCCGGGTCCTCTGCTCAGCACCCGGAGGCCACAGGCAGTACCGGGCCAGTGGGCACAGGCTCTCGGGGGGCCCAGGGGACCTGAACCCCACCCTGCCCCGCTGGTCACAGCACTGGACAGAGGCTTGTGCCACGAGAACGCTGTTGATAAACAGCGCACACGCATGCATGCGGGCCAGAGCCCACAGCTGGGGCCCGCCCCCACCGGAGGCAGGACCAGGCCAGCAAACGACCGGCTGCTCCCTTACGACCAGCCCGGCACCCACCCTGCGTGGCCTGCCCCAGGCCTGTGACCCCTACACTGTGCAAGGGACGGTCCACCCGAGGACATGGACAGCACCCCCGCCCCCAGCTGAAGGCCCCGGAACGGGAGCAGCGGGCCCTCCGGGGGCCAGGGCGGCACGGGCAGCGGACTCACTGGCGTGCTTGTCGGCCAGGGCGATGAGGCTGCTGGAGATGTCGCGGCGCCGGTAGAAGCACACCACCTTGGCCTCCACGTTCCCACTGGCCGTCTGCAACAGCAAGGCGGGCTCTGAGCGCCCTCGCAGGGGTGTCCCCATGCAGGACCTCGGGCAGTAGGAGGGGCCATGCACGCGGAGCCCACGCCCACAGCTAAGGGATGGGGCGCCCCGGCCGGGGCAGGGGGGGGACGCACAGCAGACCTAAACCCACCCGCACCCCTGCATGCGGGCACCAGACGGGCACGACTGAGGACGGGGTGTTGGTCCTTGCCATCCCATGAACAGAGCCCGAGCCTTGAGGGACGCGGGTGTCCGGGCAGGAACGGCTGCCGTGGCCAGGACAATCAGGCTGCCAAGGCCCACGAGGCGCCGACCAAGCGGCAGCTGGGACGCAGCGAAACCAGAGATGCTCACCTCACACGAAGGAGGCTTTTTTTTTTAAACTAACAAACGTTTACGTTTTCAACAATAATACAAGGACTGTATCACAATCTTACTCTTCACAGAATTTAAAATATGGCAGCATTTGTCACATTAGACTAAACTGTCTTTATACAAACCATTTAACTTCTAGTTATTCAACTCCATTAGACCAGGAATCTTTCAAGACACAGTCTTAGGAAGTTTTACATTAACTGTTACTGCCTCTGCTGCTTTACGAGGTCACCACAAGGACTTCGGAGAGCACACAGCCTTCCTCCGGCCTACGAGGGATGTGACGGGAACCAAGATGTCTCCAGGGAAAACTAAGGTTCAGAATGTTTGCAGGTGGTGTGCCCGTCCTGAGTGTGCGAGCACGGCCCGTCGGGATGCTGTCTGCAGGACTCGGGCATCCCGAGTTTTGCGAGCTGCGCTTCCCAGACCAAAAAGCCACCCCTAGAAACAGTCTGGAGGTCATCCGCTGAGCTGGGAAGGAGGGGCCTTTGACAGACAGAGACGATCCGGCACCTCAACAGGACAGAGCCAGGAGGACAACCATGGAGCACCCGGGCTCAAGTCTTCAGGGCCCCGTTGCCAAAGTGCCCCCGGGGAGCTGGCAGGTCACAGCGTGCCCCCCAGCTTCACACCAGCTGTGTGCACCGCAGGCTGGGGGGCCCTGCCCAGGAGCAGGTGCCCTGCGGGGTCTTCCACCAAGGACAACAGCATGGCGCAGGGCACGTCCTATCGGGCTCGGCGGCACCTACTTGTCCTCCTTGCTGGGCTTCGCGGAGATTCCCACACCCACGCTCCGACCTCACTCTGAAACCTGCCTCCTAATTCCCAGGGGGGAGCCCGCCGGTCCTCTGTGGCCCCTCCTGTCCAACCCCCACACCCCTGTCCCGAGGGTCTGCCCCCTCTACCCCCACAGCAGGCCTTTCCCTGTCCTTTCAAAACTGAGTCTTCTCCAGCGGCGTAGACACTTAACTCTCCAAGAAAGCAAGGCAGATGCAATAAAACCCAAACTTCTAAGGAGAAAACACAACAATCCCTTTGCAAGCTCATGAAAGCCCCGAGTCCCGGGAGGGCCAGGGGAGGGGGTGGCAGGCGCAGCTCAAGGAGGGTTTGCAGGGTCAGGGCTTCGCAGGAGGCAGAGGGGAAGGGGCGGCCCTGTAGAGACACAGACCCCAACCCACGGGACGACAGCAGCTGCGCTTTTCTTAAAGAAAGCTCACTGTCCACTTGCTCTCCTTTATGGAGAAGCTGTAAAGTGTGGGGACAATCCTGCCTGCCACATGCCCCACTTCCCTCCCACCCGTCACAGTTCACTCCAGCGTCTGCTCCACCTGCCGGGACCCCGCACCACCCCAGGCCGCTCCAGGGGGATGGCATGGAGACGGGTCAGCAGCCTGCAGGGCGCCCTTCCATTGGGGCATCCGCTGTCCTGGGGCTGGACGGGCCTGCAGCTCTGGGAGGAAGGCCGTGGGGGCAGGTGGGGTGGGGGAGCGCTTCCCCGGTCACTTCTCCGCCTGTCCCTCCGTGAGACCCCTGTCCTTCTGACCCCTGCTGGCTGGCCGCTGGGCCTCTAGAGAAGCCTCCCCTTGGCTGATTTCTCTCTCTGTGATCTCATCCCAGTTTCCGCGATACCTTCCAGGGGTTGCTTCTCACCAAGTCTCCTGGCCCCACCAACCGCAGCAGCTGCCGTGCCCCTGAGGGCGCCTGGTGCGCCTGGCCTGTCTCCCTCGTCAGCTGCGCCTGCATCAGCCCTGTCCCCAGTCGTCGTGACAAGCCTCAGGAGGAAGCTACCCTTACATCTTCCCGCCCACCAGGCCTCTGGCCAAGAGTAGGCATTTCCCTGGGACAGCGGCTCAGGTCTGACCCCAGAGATCACCCTTCTCCAACTCCCCATGTGCTCAAGGCTGCTGGGGTCCCGGCCACTGTTGGGGAGAGCCCTCTGGCTAACCAGTCTGCAGCCCCTGCCTGAGCCGCACTTGCCTGGGCTGCGACCGCCTCTCCAGCCGGGACCGAGCCCCATGCCCCACGGCGGGGAGGCGGGCAGGGCATGGAGCTGAGGACCAGCCACCCCGTGGCAGACGGCTGTGCGCCCTGGCTCCTGGGAGCAGCCTTCCCCCCACCTCACCCGCAGAGCCCCCGGGGTCCGCCTGCCTCGTGGCTGCGGAGGCCACAGCCGGAGAGAGGGCAGCACAGCTGCCCTGAGGCCCTGGCTGCGGCAGCCCCACCGGCCAAGGAGGTGCTGGGGGCAGAGACCTGGCCCCAAGCCACACCCCCAGCGTGGGCTGACCGCCTGCTCCCATCGCAGCAGCAGGCACACAGGTGCCCTCTTGCCCTCTGGCTCCAGCAGGCAGGGAGCAGGGTGCAGGGGGGGCACCCCGGGCCCAGGCGCCAAAAGTGAGGTTGCCCCACTGCACGTCCCGGCCAGACCCCAGCCCCGGCCTGAGGCCGTCAGGGAGAGCCGGCTCACTGCATCCAGGCTTGGGCTGGGACTCCGGGGGCCCCCGACCTCCCGCCCACGCCTTGTCCCGGCGAGTGTGGTCGTGGGGCTGGGGTGCAGCTGCGGCCAAGTCTGATCCTTGGGGGGGTGGGCGCCCTGACCTGCCTGGCATGGCGGCCCCTCGCCTGCACGGGCGACCTGGCGCTTCCTGGAGAGCTGCTCCAGGGAGGGGGCTGCAGCCACCCCTGGGGAACCCGGGAGGGAGAAGCAGCAGGCCCGAGGGCCACGGACTGAGCCCCACGGTGGCCGAGGAGGCGGCGCACTCGGCGGGCCCCCCAGCGGCCCCGCCCTTGGGGCGGGGCGTTCTGCAGGGACAGGCCCCTCCCCCTCCTGGAGGCCGCGCCCACCGCAGCCCCGGGGGCTGGAATGGCTCAGGACACCCCTGTGTGGGGCGGGCAGGGAGACGGGCAGGGGCGTCCTTCACTCTCACTCCTCGGTCAGGGGCGTCCGACGCACACCTTTTCTGCCCACCACATCCCCACCTCGGCCAGGCCAGCGGGGACCCCGAGGAATGGGCTCCAGGGAGGACGCCCGCAGGGACAGGCACACGCTACCTTGTTGAGCTCCTCGATCCTCCGGATCAGGTACGGGTTGCTGGAAGAGTTCTCGAAGTAGACGTAGTCTGCAGTGGGAGGGGTTGGGGGAGAGCAGGTCAGCTGTGCGGAGCCCCCCACCCACCCACGCGAGGGTCCTCGCAGTGGGGGGGGAGCACGTCAGCTGTGTGGAGTCCCCCACCCACTCACCCGAGGGTCCTCGCTGTGGGGGGGGGAGCATGTCAGCTGTGCGGAGTCCCCCACCCACTCACCCGAGGGTCCTCGTCTGTGGGGGGGGGAGCATGTCAGCTGTGCGGAGTCCCCCACCCACCCACCCGAGGGTCCTCGCAGTGGGGGGGGGCATGTCAGCTGTGCGGAGTCTCCCACCCACTCACCCGAGGGTCCTCGCAGTGGGGGGGGGAGCATGTCAGCTGTGTGGAGTCCCCCACCCACTCACCCGAGGGTCCTCGCTGTGGTGGGGGGGCGGGGGGGGGGCGATAAGCTGAGGCAGAGTCGCTGCTCCAGGTGGGGGTCCACAGCCCACCCCCCTGGGACATCTTCACAGTGGGGGCGGCACCTGGGCCGGATGGGTGGGGCCCCCACAGACATCAGCACAGGGAGGGGCTGCCAGACCCCACCCCCACTCCCATGCACACCAGCCCTGGCCCTGGCAACCCACCACCTTCCCTGTAAAGACGCGCTGGACCGGGCCCTGGATTCCCACGGGGGCGGGAGGAGGCCCGGCACCCAGGGGAGTGGGATCCCAGGCCTCAGGTCAATGCAAACTCCTCTCACAGAAGTTCGTTTTCCTAAAGCCCCGGGGTGGGCGTAGGGAGGCCCGCAGTGGGAGCAGAGGGGCCTGCCCGGGGAAACCCAGGACAGCCACCAGACCACCGGCTGCCAGCCCAGCCGTGGGCCATCGCCAGCCCCGCAGGCACAGGCGCCTGCCTGCCCCGGCGGGACTCTGCTGAGGCTCACACGTGGCCCAGGTGACCCCTGACAGCACCCCAGAGGGGTCACAGGACGGGTGTGCCCGTCCGGGCTGACGGGCCAGGGCAGGCTGGCCGTGTGGTGGGCGGGCTTTATCACACATAGATTTACTCAGTAAAGCCGTTTTTACAAAGAGGCCTCAGATCAACCATCTAAGCTTTCACTCTAAGAAACCAGATAAAAAGCAAATTAAACCTGAAAGAATTGCTCCTACATGTCAGGAACTGGAAACAGCCCACCCACCCCCAGCGGAGGGACAGATGGGCGCCATGTGTCCGGGGAAGCGTCCAGCTCCCTGGATGGGGGGCCGGTGGAGGGGCAGGGGCCACACTCCGAGGGCCCTGCACTCCCAAGGGCAGGCTTCAAGGTGGGCACAGAGGTGGGACAGGAGAGGGGTGGGCCCAGCGGCCTGACCCTGAGCTGCCACGGGGGGTGGGGGGCTGCAGGGACACCCACAAAGGCCCTGAATTCAGAAGTCAACAGCTTCACAGAGACAGAAAGAAAAGAGAACCTGCCCCCACCACCAAATGCAGAGGGAAGACTGACCACAGCTCCACTCTCCCCCCGCAGCACTGGAGGAGAGGCCTGGGGCTCAGGAGGCCCGGACACCGCCACCGGCACTGCGGGGACCACAGCGTGGAGCCCCCCACCCCAGGGCGCAACCTCTGCATGGCCAGGCCGGCAGCCTGGATGAGGCCACATCCCCGGCTCGGGGGTCACAGCGGCGGAGTAAGGACGAAAAGCCGAAAAGCCGCACAGCCACCTCAGCCGACGACACGTGAACAGCTCCTGATAAAACTCAGACGCAGAGCAGGAGTCCAGGGAACATCCGCACCTGCTAGCAGGCTTCTCCAAAATCTACAGTGACGCCACCTTTTCTGATGGAGCCGGAGCCGGGACTGGGCGCCCGCCGTGCCCTGCTGCTCGCCCACGGGACCCGGCTGGCTCCACAAGCAGAAAGAGCAAACACACGAGAGGCATGCAGCTTGGAAAGGAAGAGAGAGACATCTCTGTGCAGACAACGTGGCTGTCCACAGAGCAATTCCCAGTCGCCCGAACAGCTGCGGGCACTGAGAGGGCGGGGCCTGCTGGCGGGACCTCAGCCGCCCGCGGCCAGGCCAGGCCAGGCCGGCCTGCTCCAGAAACCCGCTTTCTCTGCTTAAAAGCAAGCAGCTCCCGGGGGAGGGTTTCGCGAGCTCACAGGATGCAAGTCCATCAGAAGCGCCACCTACAGGACCCCCCTGGCAGTCCAGTGGTTCAGGATCTGCCGGCCAACGCAGGGGACGCAGGGTCCACCCTCGGTCCGGGAGGACGGCACAGGCCTCGGAGCGACTAAGCCCGCAGGCCGCGAGGACTGAGCCTGCGCTCTGCACCAGCCACACCGTGAGGCCATGAAGTGCATGGAGGAGCCCTGCTCGCCACAGCCAGAGGGCCCATGGGCGGCAGCCAAGGGTCAGCAAGTTAACAAATGAAAAAAACTAAGTACCACTCAATACTTCAGCACTGAGGTATCAATGTAACAATCTACGAATCCTTAAAGATCAAAAGTCCTGTGCGAAGATCTGTGTGCTGAAAGCTACAAAACACTAGTGAGAAAAACCAACAAAGTCTAAGTAAGTAGTAACGTATGAAGTATCATTAGAACACAGACCATCAACTTTTTCCGGCACAGAGCCTGACAGTAAAGACTGCAGGCCTCGAAGGACAGGAAGTGAAACCAAAGATACCACTTTAGGTTATTTATTTACAGGATACATTTCCACAAACATTTTGCCAATGAAATCTAAAATAAAATAATTGAATACACTTTTTGTGATAAAATACTGGTATACTAAGAAATTCTGTTGGGAGGGGCGCACAGTTCATTTAAGCAGGGCTCAAAGTTCATGTGCTTCATCATGAAAACCCAGGGCCATGCTCCTGTTAACACCGGCCCATGCATCTCTCCACACAGGAAGCACCCAGACACCAGTGTCCGTCTGCCAGCATGAAAGCTGAACCGAGTACATTCGTGTCAGACGTGCTGAGCTTCGTCTCTGACCTTTCCCTTCAGCGTCTGTGCAGCGAAGGGTCAGCCCGGCAGGCCCCAGGCCAGCCCTGGCTACATGACCAGCTGGGAGGGACACCCCGGATGCCGAGGTGCACGTGGTCACACCGTCTCCAACCCTGAAGAGACGGCGGGATCTGTAACCTTTCTCCTCTGCTGCTGTGGTCTGCTCTAAGGATTCTAAGCTGAGGCTCGAGTGCAGCTCTGCCAGGTTCTCAGAATCTGTCGGCAAAGCACCAAACCCACGGCCGGGCAGGGCCACAGCAGGGGACGCGCCTCAGAGGTGGGCAGCGGAGCAGCTTCTGAAACCTGGACACCTCCACCGCCCGGCACCGCGGCCTGAGCTCAGAAAACACACCCGCTGCAAATGTGGGTCCGAATGCGGGTCCCATATCTCACCTTCCGACAGGAGGAGCCTACACAGGGCAGCTGGTGATTCAGACATCGGCTGTCACCAAAACGAACGCACAGATTTGCAGTGAGTGCCGTTTTACGTCCTTTTCAGATGAATTCATAGAGGACCGTCACCAAAGGTGCAGCAAAGCTAACGTCCAAAAGCGTCCGCGTTTGAAATGGCTGAGAGCCATTCCTCTCGCTCTGGGCAGGGCAAGCCAAGAAATGCAGCCTCCGCTCGGGATACGATTCACAGACGGCTGAGTCCACGAGGCAGACGCGGTGCACGGCGGACACACAGGCTGGGTGAAGCGGGAGACTCCACGTTCTGCACAAAGCGCCTGCTGAGCAGCGGCCCGGCGTGTTCACACACTTTGCCCGGGTGTCCAGCCACGCCCCACTCTGTCGACCCATCCCCTCTAACAGCTCTGTCACCACCAGGGTTCTCCGGGGAAGCAGAGCCAATGGCAGGAAGAGGCACATGTGTGTGACACACGCGTGTGCGCGCGCACACACGGAGCGGCTTGTCCCACCAGCCGCTCGCGTGCATATGGAGGCCGAGAGGTCAGACGGTCTGCTGTCTGCAAGCCGGGGGCCAGGACGGCTGGTGGTGAGGGTCGGCCCAAGTCTGCTGGCCTGAGACCCGGGGGCCCTTGAGCCGCCGAGGGCAGGAGGGGACGGACACACGGGTGAGAACAGGAGCTGGCCGCTGCCCTCGGCGCTGTGGGTGGGCAGGGAGGGCTCAGATCCAGCGCTGACCTGTCCCAAAGCACCCTGGCGGACACCCCCAGACAACGACCCCTGGCCGCCCTGAGCCCAACCGGGTGGACCCAGCGTCCCAGCAGAGCGGGCGTCCGCTGGCACCAGGCTCTTTTCCCAGCTTCTCTGAGTATCTTCGCTGTGCTTGCAGGCAGACTTCACAGAGCCAGGCTCCTGACCCCGGGGCTGTGGGCCCTCAGCCTGAGAAGCCGCCCGCCAGCATGCGGCAGGGACATCACGGCCAGGAACTGGCTTTTCCTGCCTGGCCAAGGTTCTGCGGAGACCCCTGTGTGTCGTCTTCATGGGCTTATGAGGAGGATCAGCTGTGACAGGCCCTCTCTGAGCTGGAAGGTCCGCAGCTGTCCCCACGCACGCTGTCCCGGCGCACACGCTGTCCCGGCGCACACGCTGTCCCCGCGCGCACGCTGTCCCGGCGCGCACGCTGTCCCGGCGCGCACGCTGTCCCCGCACGCACGCTGTCCCCGCGCGCACGCTGTCCCCGCGCACGCTGTCCCCGCACACACACACCGCGAGGACCCGCCCGAGCCCAGCGCTCCACTCTCTGGGACACTGACATTACGACATGGGGGTGTGATCAGCGACAGCCCCGCGGGCGGGCGGGCAGGCAGGCACGCGGGCAGACGACCTCACCGTCCGCCGCTCGACTCCGTCAAAGCCCCACAGCAGCCCGAGGACGCGGCAAACACAGCCGCGCGGCTCGCTCCAACTCGACTTTATTTATAGGCACTGAGATTTGAATTTCATGGAATTTTCACTTGTCCTAAAGTATTCTTTTCATTTTTTTTCCCTCAACCATTTAAAAACGTAGGACCCATTCTCAGCTCGTGAGTCAGAGGAGAACAGTCAGCGGGCCACAGCTTGCCAGGCCCTGCAGGAGGGGCCAGTCCTGGAAGAGATGCCAGCCTTCCCCCAAACCGACATCAGCCACAGTTTCAACGTAATCCCAAGCAAAACTCCAGTTTTTTCTGTAGGAAAGTGAGTAAGACAATCCTACTTTACATGGGACATCCAAGACAGCAGAACAGATGAAATAATTTGGAAGCAGCTCAAAGTCAGGGACTTCCTGGCCGCCCACTGGTTAGCACGCAGCGCTGTCACTGCCCAGGGTTTGACCCCCACTGGGGGAACTCAGTCCTCGCGAGCTTCAAGTGCAGCTGAAAGGAAAAGGACGAGTCAGAGACGTCCCGCCTAGCCCAGGCCTGCTGTGAAGTTACAGGAACCCACACGGTGTGGGGGGGCAAGCAGCTGTGACTGGACAGCCCCAGATCGGAGGTCAGAATGCTAGCAGGTGGAGACGGGTCACAGGACACTCACGCTCAAAGAGGAATAAGCTGCGGACCTTCGGCTCCACCACACACACAAGTGAGCTCAAAACATGTCGCACACTCACAAGTAAAGCCCGGAACTATAAACACTCCTCGAGAACACAGGACAAGATCTTTGTGATCTCAGGGTTGGCAGATTTTATACACAAAACATGTAAATTATAAAGGAGAAAATTTGCACAACGCATATCTAGTAAAGAACTAACATATACCGCATAAAACAAAGCCTCACGACTCAGCAGCAAGCTTCTTCCCAGTCTCAGAAACCAGGCAGAGGGCCCGTGCAGACACCTGTCCAGACACTAGGGGGCAAGTCAACAGGTGGAAAGATGCCTCACGCCTCGGTCCAGGGAGACTGGAGGCGCCCTGCTCGCCTGCCAGACCCTCGACAGAGCCGCTGGCCCGACGAGACCCAGCTGGCCAGGGTGTGGAGGGCCCGGGACTCTCACCACAACAAATGACACGCACAGCAGAGCGGAGCACGCAGTCACCAGAAGCTGGAAATGACTCTGCAGTGATGCGAACGTGCCCTTCAAACGTCATGCTGAAATCCCAACCCTGAAGCCAGCTATCTGGAGGCAGGACCTCTGGGAAGGGCTGACGGTGAGCTCCAGGAGTGGGGTTCGTCCTCTCAGAGACCCCCGGAGCTCCCTGCCAGGAAGTGGGCTCTCCTGAGACATCAGGTCTGCAGGGGGCAGCCTGGACCGCATCCAGGGACCTGCAGCCTCCAGAACTGCAAGAAGCTGCCTCTGCTGTTGACCAGCCTCCGGGCTGGGGCCTCCAGACCCGACGTCCCACAGCTGCTGAATCCACCACGACATGTCCATTCAACAGATCCGACTCTGCAGGCAGAGGAAGGCGCTCCCCACACCTGGGCGAGCCCTGGACACACTGTGTGACACCCTGTCGGGGGCGTCGGGAGCGATAGGGTCCCCTCGGGGCTGCGGGCCGGGCTGGGTGTGGCAGGCTGACCACAAAGCAAGAGAGAAACCGGCAGGTCATGCCAGCCATCTGACCGCCAGGCTCCCCCCCAGCCTGTTGAGACCACACACCTGTCCAAATCAAAGAGCTAAACAACAAAGGGTGCATAAAAGTGTACTTCGGCAGACCTAGCTTTCGACATTAAAAATCCCCTAGCCACAGTAATCGCGTTTCTGAAGTCACCACTAACGCTGAATTCTCCAGAGCTGACCCACTGGCCCAGGGCGAGGTCAGGGTCAGGGTCAGGGCCAGGGCTAGGGCCAGGGCCAGGGTCAGGCTCCTGCAGCCTCAGGCCAGGTTTCCTTCAGGGATCAGCACAGCACCTGCTCTCTGCGCCCGGCTCGGAGACTGACAGGTGCGTGCCTAGCTCATATCACACCACCGGCTCACGGCTGCAGCCTGCCGGCGCTGAGGAACCCTGGACGCACCTCAGGGCATCGCTGGGCCCACTGAAACACAAGAACCTCCAACGGCAGTCCTCAGGCGGGGGGACCGCTCACTCGCGGCTCCGCTGGTCAGCATTACCCTGAGGGATCCGCGGCCTTACAAACGCAAGCAGCCAGGAGCAACGTGGTGGGGGTGGGGGGAGGTACAAAGGGAGGCCCCCCCCACCCAGGAAGGCGGCGTGACCCCCGGAGGGCCGGGTCATCAGCACCTCAGGGACAGGATCCCACCAGCCCTGGGCCCGCAGACCCTGCGGGGGGACGTGCGGAGGCTCAGCCCGTGGAGCTGGAAGTCTGCGGGAGCCCGACCCCGACCCCCAGGCCCACCTCCACGCTCACTCGCCAAACCTCACAGGCCTGGGGCCCAGCACGCACACCCCGCTCGCGCCCTGTGCTGGCCACACCCTCTCTCTGGCCAGACCTCCCGTGCACACACCCCCTGGACGGAGGCCAGGCCCTGCCTGGAGGCCTCCCTCCAGAGGGCAGATGGACGGAGGATGGAGGTGACAGGTGACAGGGGGTTGGGCCGGGCACCAGGCCTGAGCTCAGACACCCCCAGCTCTCTCTGGATGAAGGAGCAGAACTGTTCCCACCTGGATCCCAGTAAAGGCCCTGCGGTGCTCACGCTGACCCACACACAGACCCGCAGGCCTGAGCTCACACAGTGCCCGCTAGAGCACGCCCCCCCCCCCC